ATGACATTGATGAAGTTATGAAAAAAGGAAATTGGCGAACTCCGAATACTTTTGCTCGCTTTTATTCCTCTGAAATTCGTAATTATTGTAACTCGAATTCCAATTTATCTCACGCTTTTCAAGCTATTTAAGTAATCGATTGATATAATTTAAAGATGATTAATTGCATTTGATTATTTCAAATTATGTACACCTACTTACCTGCTTATGGGAAAATAAAAGGAAAGAAGTATTCTTCTTCTTTGTTTTTCTTTTTATAGTTCTCTTTATTTCTCACACATTGGCATGATATAATTAAGTACTTACTTAATTTTAAAACTTTTACTTGCCACCAGGCGATAACAAACACATCTCACTCTTAGGTCTCGAATAACGGTTCAGCGCATATAATAAAATGTTTTACCTGAAAATAAAACAGTTATTATATGCAGAAACCTTATTCGAGACCTAATTTTTAATTACTGCCTAGTGGCTAAATTCTACTGACTCCAGTGAGATACAATATGACGAGTCAAACCACGGCTGCCGGTGACAAGCAAAAACAAAAATCCCTTCTACCGCACTTGCGCTGCCGGTAGTTACGTAGTGGAGGGTATCGGAGGAGGGCTGTTCTAGGAAACGGAAGTAGTGCTGTCTCACTCTTAGGTCTCGAATAAGGTTTCTGCATATAATAACTGTTTTATTTTCAGGTAAAACATTTTATTTTTTTTTCGAAGTTTTGTAAAAACAACTTTCAGCGATTACAGAGATAGACCATTCGGTGGCGCCATTTCGTAAACATATCGAAATTAGTGCCGTGTAAGCGGAGAATTAATATGCTAAATGAATTTTACGAGATCAGTTGACTGTATTATATATAGGCATAATTTTATACGCGTGGTGTAGTTTCTTTGAGCAGAAATATTATTCCCTTAGAATACTTATTTTTTTATTATTTATTAATGACACAAACATACATTTAAAATTTTATTAAATGCGAAAAAGACAGTGAGTGTCACTTAATTACTTTTGTTAATCTTCTGTTTATTCTTTATTATTACTTCTGTTGTCAAATATTTATCTATATTTATCAATTGTCTAAAAAAATTTGATAATAACAAATTTCCAGGCAAACTTTCATCCCCTATTTTTCGCGATAAAATGTAGCCTATGTCCTTTCTTAAAGTTAAGTATATTTACTATATTAATTTCCATTTAGATGAGTTCAGTTGTTTAGGCGTCTAAGCGTAACAACACTTATTTATCTTACTTTAAGTTATCGATACTTTTAATACGATTCTAAAATCTAGCTAAGTATCGATACTAGAACCATACGCTGATCAATTTAGAACTATACCGAGTTTGCCAAAGCATATGCAGTGATATATACCAACTATATTAAATCATCATATAAAATATAGCATTTTATAATCAACATTAAATATCGATTATATTAGTTTATTGGAAATTAACAATATTGCCGAAATAAATATCGATTCAAATCGATTATTTTTTCCCAAGCCTATTTCTTATGAATTTTCCGGATCTCGGAGACAGCAGTGCACAAGCGTAAACACGTTTTTCATTGCCGCCATCACGGACCTGAAAAAACCGGTCCGGAATAGAGAAAAGTAAAATTCCGGACGGTAAAATTCCTGACAGTGCACAAGCGCGCATTACCTACATATGGCCTGACATATCGGACCTGAAAAAATCGGACCGCCGGACATAAAAATTCAGTGTAGTGCACAAGCGCCCATAGAGTGCGTAATAAACGTGTAAAAGCCATTTTTTTTTTTAATTTATTTATTTAGGGTAACAAACAATTGTACAATACATGTTTCATAAATTTGTACAGTTATAGATAAATAATAAATTGCACAACCAGCACCGTTATCCACAAAATAACTGTAAAACCTACGTAATTTACATTAAACAGAAAAGGATTCATAATTAAATACGGTTGCTTCTCGTAAACAGTACAGTAATTCCGGGAGTATAGGCATTCAATACAATAATACTATTAATATGGATACCAGCGTCGACGAAATCACGACACCCAGAAAGAAGTAGAATTTTATTTAATTACCTTATTGAAATATAAATAGTTGCTATAAGTGAACCAACAATATTAAATATATATAAACATATTTACCTGTTATATGACTTAGTGAGTTGTCTAATTATTTTTGATTTGAAGTTTCTTAAAGTTAGTGCAAATAAATCAATATCACAAAAATAGTCATTATATAAGGACATCATTTTATAAAACGGTGTACGTTGACCTGCGTTAGTTCTAACATTTTTGAAATGAAAAAGTTAATGGAGGCGTTTATTACGTATTCTTACTTGTCTGGCAGGTATACGATAGAAGATATTATCGGTTAAATCAGTACAGTCAAAAATATTATGAATTATTTTATATAATGTCATTGTACTCAGCATTGTTCTACGTTGCTCCAAACTATGTAGTGAGTGTGTCTGTAAGAGTTGTACATAAGAAGATTTCGGTAAACTACATCTGTAATTGATACGTTTCAAGAATTTGCGCTGCACTGATTCTATTAAGTTGACATATTTGTTATAGTGAGGGTTCCAAATGGTAGTAGCGTATTCTAGCTGGGATCTTACAAGGGCTTTAAGCAAGTGTATGCATGTTGCAGATTTTTTAAATTGACAACCTATACGCATAATAAATCCATACATTTGATATGCCTTACTAACTATATCTGCAACATGATTATCGAGGTGAAGCTCAGAGTCCCATAGTATACCGAGGTCACGGATACTATTCACTTTTTCAAGTATTTTCTGACCAAGAATATAATCAAAACGTATGGTATAATTTTTTTTTGAAAACGTAATTGATTTGCATTTTGCCGTACTTAAATATAACTTGTTCAAGGTGCAATATTCATTCAAGCGGTCCAAGTCGCTTATGAGACTACAACAGTCATTATTATTCTGGATATTTTTATAGATTTTTAAATCGTCTGCGTATAAAAGAAAGTTACTATTCTTAAAGCATTGGTCTATGTCGTTAATAAAGATAAGAAAGAGCAATGGCCCCAAGATCGAGCCCTGTGCCACGCCAGATGTAACAATAGTGCTGCTTGAAGCGTTAACCATTTATGACTACTCTCTGAGTCCTATTAGATACATACGAACAGAACCATCGCAAGAGGTCTCCTCGAATACCATTGTATGCAATTTTCCTAAGAAGTAATTCGTGATCCACCTTATCAAATGCTTTACAGAAGTCAGTATAAATAACATCTACCTGAAAGCGATGATCCATAGAATCAAATAAGAAATTGCTAAATATGAGTAAGTTGGACTCTGTTGAACGTTGCTTGACGAAACCATGTTGTTGAGGTAATATGATAGTATGTAGCTGTGGATAAATAGCATTGTGCACTAATCTTTCCAGGACCTTGGCCAACACAGACAATAAAGAAATAGGACGGTAATTACGAACATCGCTCCTAGAGCCAGATTTGTAGACAGGAGTTACAAAATTTTTATTAGTTTGACATGTTACATTAGTAATTGACATAAAGTTATTTACTATCGATATTGAATAACAACAAGACAGTAAATTGAAAGGATACTGGATTAATGATTTCTTAATATTATTTTGGCTATTGAATTGTATTGATTGAATGTAATATTATCTTTTTTATTTAGATATTAATATTTAAAAACCATGAAATTTTTTATGCTTGTTTATTAGTTGGTTGATTCAGTAAGAAATATTTAAATCACTTACTAATAATGAAATAACATTAAATCAGTTCTAGTAGTGCTTAAATATTTATTTGCATATATGTTTGTTGGTTTGTTTATAAATAATAATAGTTGGTAATTTATTTACGTTACTCGATTTTGTATCAAGTAAACAGATAAGATCGGCAACATCGCTTAAATGAAACTAGTAATATTGATAAACAATATAATGTAAATAAATGTATACAAAATAAAAAGAAATACAATGAGTACAATAAATGCTATTGTAACTTACCCCGAACGGATTTCGACGATTTAAAAAGTACTGTTGTTAATGGTTTAAAATAAAAAAAAAAATCTAATTTTCTGTTAAAATATTAGGAATATAAAAACAGATTCTTTCGCTACACCACACTCATTATTAAATTAATATACAAATGCATACCAAACGAAGTTAATATGGTAGTCTATAATGGGGTTACATTTTATTTATTGCTATTAATCTCTGATTGAATTTGTATTTTATTACCACTTTTTTTGTCGTCCTTACTTTTATTAGTTTTTACTGACTAACACACTAAGAATCGATCAAATGTTCCCATGTCACTAGCGACCTAGCGTAATCTATTATGTTACTATTTAGAACGGTGATTTCGCGATGTACTTTATAATACGTGCTTAGAACGACGCAATGTAATAAATATGCGTACTTCCCCAGCAATGTATATTTTCTTGGATATTATTTTTGTGATTCACACTTTTGATAACATTTCACGAATTTCGATTAAAAATACTAAATTTGAGAAGTGTTCTACTTACTAATAAAAAGAAATCCCTCCCTTGGACCTTCTTAAGGATTGGCTTCTTGTTTTGCAATGAATAATCGCGCAAGTCGGCATTTTTAACACTATTAGTGCACGACACTTTCACAGTACTTACAGCGCGCGCGTTCGTGAATGACTAAACATCGCGATCGCGTGATGAAGTCACGATCCTGTACATTTGTCCAGGATCGTGGCTACACTAACACGGCCCTTCTAACGTTATTCTGTGTTCTGTGGAATAAACGATATTAAGTTTGAGGTTGGAGTTTATCAACATTATCATGATCAGCCGGGTCACGGGACGATATAATAAATTATTTGCAGTATACCTGGATATTTAGAGCGTGTCTGTGTTATCTAAATTAAGTGATATAATAAAAAAAAAAACGAAGTCGTGCGGTCTTAAATATTGATATACCTAAGATTTTGGAATAAATGTAGTACACTATTATCTTTATACTGTACGTTCAGGTGAACGTGGAGGAGGGCGTGGAGCTGTCGGTGCGCATAGAGGGGTTCGGGTGGTCGTCGGCGCTGCTGGTGGGGGGCGGGGGCGGGGGCGGCGCCTTCACCGCGCGCCTCAAGCTGCGGGACTCGCGCGGCCGCCGCCTGTACCTCACCGCGAGGGTCAACATGTCCAACACCGACGCGGTCATGGTATCTACACTACCGCCTCGCAATATACTTTTAGTGTTCACGGAATACTAAATAGGTATCTCGCGGCACGGCGTGTCCGCTCGATGTTAGAGATCATCTACAAATATGTTAATTTTTAGTGGCCTACAAAAATTCGGCTCGCGTTGCATCTTTCGAGATAGTAAGGTGTAATACTGTCGCTCGTACGATGTGGGTGTGTGAGTGTGTGGGTGTGTCGGTCAGGTGTGCGTGTCGGCGGCGTACTGGCTGGTGAACCGCAGCGGGGTGCCGCTGGTGTTCCGCGCGGAGGGCGCGGGCGGGGAGGCGGCGGGGCAGGGGGCGGAGCACGAGCTGGCGCGCGCGGTGGCGCCGCTGCTGTTCTCCTTCGCGGGCGCCGACGCCGCGCCCACGCTGGCCGCGCGCCTCGGCACCGCGCGCCACCACAACGCGCAGGTCCCACCACGCAGGCCTATGTTAACGTCCGTAATGGCAAAAACGGGAAAGTAATAGAGGATTCTCCACAGTGGTGCTCCCCGTTCGGTCTGGGCCCCGGCGTGACGGTGAAGCGGCTGACGTGTCGCGGGGTGGGGGCGGGGGCGGGGGAGGCGGGCGCCGAGGCCGGGGAGGAGCGCGAGTACTGGGTGGGGGTGGAGGTGCGCGCGGGGCGGGGCCGGCGCCGGCACACCAACGTGGTCACCTTCACGCCCAGATATCAGCTGCACAACAACACGTCCTATAGATTGCAGTTCGCGCAAAAATGCACCGCTACTACTTTGGTGAGTCAAGTAACAGAAGATTCTAATATTCGTGTGTCCGATTGACTTATATTATCATTCAAAACGCCTCGATTACAAAAGTGAGTTTATGGTAAAAGAAAACAAACTGTACTTCTTGTTATATAATCTATGCCATACTCTATAATATGATGCCGTCACAGCAACACCCTTGGACATGTATTAAAACACTCTATTTGTACGGACGCAGTTATACTGATTCACACAATGACGTCGTACACAAGTATACGACGCAATGTAATTACAATTGTCCAGTGCGATACCACAATTATACAATACCGATAATACGAGGGTCAAACTGAAAGTTCTTAGAACTGGCCACTTATAAACAATATAATAAAAAAATAATTCTAAAATTTGAAAATATAACTCTTTGCCAATATTACTGAGTATATATTTCATTCATTTGTCATTTGTTTTACGATTTGGCGGCAAATTGAAAATTGTCTGTGTCACGTCATCATGAATTTAACACGAGAAAATTTTCGTGCAATGATTTTTTATGACTTTCGATGTCATTTAAGTCAACAAGAAAGTTATGATAGACTACGATTGGCCTTTCACGATGAAGCCCCATCTCGTGCGACTGTTTACAACTGGTTTAATGAGTTTAAACGTGGTCGCACTAATCTCACTGATGATTTACGTGAGGGACGGCCTTCTACGGCGACGACTGAAGATAACATCTGTGTTGTGCGGCGTATGATAGAGACTGACAAAAGAGTGACCTATCAACAGATTTGGACAAGCTTAGGCATCGGTATGAGTCAAGTGCACAAAATCCTCCACGAACATTTAGCGGTCAGGAAGCTTTGCGCCCGGTGGATACCTCATAATTTGACTGAGGCTCAAAAACTCCATCGTGTGGATTGGTGTCGTAAAATGATTGAAAGATTTAACGGAGGTGACTCAAATGCTGTGTTCGACATACTAACAGGTGACGAAAGCTGGATTTACTGTTATGATCCTAAAACCAAAAGACAATCTGCTCAGTGGGTGTTTCCTTTCGAGGAGTTGCCAACTAAAGTGAAGAGAGATCGAAGTGCGGGAAAAAAAATGGTGGCCTCGTTCTTTGGAAGGATAGGTCATTTTGCAACAATTGTGTTAGAGGATCAAAAAACAGTTTCTGCAGAATGGTACACTACCAATTGTTTGCCACTTGTCTTGGAAAAAGTTCGAGAGAAACGACCTCGCAGTAGGATCCTCCTTCACCACGACAACGCCTCGTCGCACACCGCCAAGCGAACGATCGACTATTTGGCGACATCAAACGTTGAATTACTGGGTCACCCGCCGTATAGCCCCGACCTCGCGCCTTGTGATTTTTATTTATTTCCAAAAATTAAAGAAAAACTTAAAGGAAAGCGGTTTATGAATGCTGAAGAAGCGGTGGCTGCGTATCGCGATGCCATTGAAGAGACCCCTAAGGACGAGTGGGCAAAGTGCTTTTTCCCAGTGGTTCCATCGCATGCAGCGGTGTATTGACGTGAATGGACAATATTTTGAAAAGATATAATAAAACTAATAACTGGCTAATGTAATCAGTTTTTGATTTTCTAAGAACTTTCAGTTTGACCCTCGTACTATCGACACGACAAATGATTCTGATTTTTAAGTTTGATTAATAATTATTATTCTCGTTTCATATGCGTATCACGACGTTCATAGTCCGACTAATCAGATTAATCAAGTCCGACGAGCATAGTCCTGCGATCGACACTAGTATACCCTTCACCCTTCATTGAATCTTCTCTTCGGTAACAGCACACTAATACTCACCACATGTACGAAACCCTTTACCGTTTCGATATACAAAGAGAGTTCTTAACTTCATGGCCCAGGGTCAACGTTAAGTTTTTACATACAACGTTCTGCCGTGTCCCTCAGTCAGACCCAGGTGCGATGTCGACACACGTGGTGGCAGTGCCGGGCTGCTACCTGCCGTGGCACTGGCCGCGCCCCGCGCGCCCCCGCCTGCTGTGCGCGCGCCTGCTGGGGCCCGCCCCCGCGCACGCGCCCCTCACCGCCTGGTCGGGCGGGTGCCGCATCGATGAACCGCGGACCACGCACTTCGCTTGCAGGTACTACCTATTATATTATTGTGGTTTACATGAAACTGAAAAGATAAACACTTATGTGGCATGCTACACCTCTATCATGTAGGGTAGTTCTTAAAGGAGGAGGTTATAAGGATGTGATCCAAAAGAAGGTTAAGATGTCATGTCTAATGATATCAGAGAGGCGAGCGGCGGAGTGAGTGGGGCGAGTGGCGGGGGCGGGGGCGGATACGTGATCCTGCGCGTGGAGGTGGTGGCGCGGGGGGCGTCGCTGTACGTGCTCGTGTCCGGGTCCGAGACCGCGCCCCCGCCCCTGCGCATCGACAACTACTCGCCCGTCTCTATCATGTTCCATCAGGTATGCGTGTCTAAAGTCGATTACAATATTTCAAATAATCTCATCGTTTATTTGTCATAGCCGATTTCTTCGAAATAACTCGACCGATTACGTCCAAAGACATCACACAACGTATATAAATTAATTTAAAACATGACGGTTTGCTGTGGAGAGTAAGAAAATATTTATAAAGTTATTATTATGTGACATTAAATGAAAGAGCTTCTTAAGAAGAACAGAAATACATACTTTTCAATCAATAATTATGAAATGATATAAGAAAACGAACGAAAAGTCCGAAAATACTGGGTATATAATTTGAAAAAAGAAAAATTACGTAGATAATAGTTCTATTTGTGTTGTAGACTTTAAATTAGCCTAGGTGTGGGAACATTAGTGTTAATGTCGGGACGTGTGTTAGTATGCGTGTGCGGATAGAGTTGGTGTGCGTGTGGTGTGCAGGTTGGGTGTGCGGAGGAGAGCGTGGTGGGGGCGCACGCTCGGGTGCGGTGGGCGCTGCCGGAGCCGGAGGGGGCGTGCGGGCCGGTGCTAGTGTGCGTGTGGTGTGCAGGTTGGGTGTGCGGAGGAGAGCGTGGTGGGGGCGCACGCTCGGGTGCGGTGGGCGCTGCCGGAGCCGGAGGGGGCGTGCGGGCCGGTGCTAGTGTGCGTGTGGTGTGCAGGTTGGGTGTGCGGAGGAGAGCGTGGTGGGGGCGCACGCTCGGGTGCGGTGGGCGCTGCCGGAGCCGGAGGGGGCGTGCGGGCCGGTGCTAGTGTGCGTGTGGTGTGCAGGTTGGGTGTGCGGAGGAGAGCGTGGTGGGGGCGCACGCTCGGGTGCGGTGGGCGCTGCCGGAGCCGGAGGGGGCGTGCGGGCCGGTGCTAGTGTGCGTGTGGTGTGCAGGTTGGGTGTGCGGAGGAGAGCGTGGTGGGGGCGCACGCTCGGGTGCGGTGGGCGCTGCCGGAGCCGGAGGGGGCGTGCGGGCCGGTGCTAGTGTGCGTGTGGTGTGCAGGTTGGGTGTGCGGAGGAGAGCGTGGTGGGGGCGCACGCTCGGGTGCGGTGGGCGCTGCCGGAGGGGGCGTGCGGGCCGGTGCTAGTGTGCGTGTGGTGTGCAGGTTGGGTGTGCGGAGGAGAGCGTGGTGGGGGCGCACGCTCGGGTGCGGTGGGCGCTGCCGGAGGGGGGCGTGCGGGCCGGTGCTAGTGTGCGTGTGGTGTGCAGGTTGGGTGTGGGGGCGCACGCTCGGGTGCGGTGGGCGCTGCCGGAGCCGGAGGGGGCGTGCGGGCCGGTGCTAGTGTGCGTGTGGTGTGCAGGTTGGGTGTGCGGAGGAGAGCGTGGTGGGGGCGCACGCTCGGGTGCGGTGGGCGCTGCCGGAGCCGGAGGGGGCGTGCGGGCCGGTGCTAGTGTGCGTGTGGTGTGCAGGTTGGGTGTGCGGAGGAGAGCGTGGTGGGGGCGCACGCTCGGGTGCGGTGGGCGCTGCCGGAGCCGGAGGGGGCGTGCGGGCTGGTGCTGCGGGCGCCGGGGGGCACGCGGGCCACGGTCCAGCTGTCGGACCTGGCGCCGCCGCCCACTACGCTGCTCTACCAGAACTTCATCCTTGTTGCCTTCACACCTAATCGGCAGAGGTACCGCACGCAAGTCGATATTATTGCTTCGAGATAATAAAGTATTGCTAATTGATATTAAAAATGATCTATTTTAGTGATACGAATGGATCTACGCCTGATGACGATGATGTCTTGGTCCTAGAAGTGCCTTTAGGCTCAACCAAAGTTATATTGGGAAAGAAAAGATACGGAGACAGGTAAAGTATACCATTATTTATTTTTCAATGTTTATTGTACAAAATGTTTACAAAATTGTTTATTAATATTTTTATTAATAAGCTTTCATTGAATGTAACTCAGAGCTGTGTCCTTTTTAGAATGCTTGTGTAATGTTAATGTCAGTTAAACGTTTGAATAAACTTATGTCACTACTCTCATTCATAAATCAGTGTTTACGTCGCAGATATACTGCATTAAACTTCGTATTACATACAATGTTCGATAGGCACTTCATTGAACAGGAAGCTTATTAAACACAAACGGCCAAGTTTGTTAGATTAGAACTTCAAGCCGAGCCAGCGATATTTTAGGATTTCTTTGATGAATGAATCAGGCTTTTCTTAATGTCAATGGCGTCTTATAGAACGCTACCCTGATCCTTTGCAACGTCTAGGAGTCTCATAAAACTGTGCTGATTCTAATCGGGCGCACCCATACGTAATACGGAGTGTTATACAATTTTGCCGTTACTCTTATACGTTTATTGTTTTAACAGTAAATAATTAGCGTCAGTATGTAAAATACCATGTAGGTAATATTTTGCCAACGAAGGTATGTACCGATGTACGCCAACTATAAACGTGAACCGATGCGACGCGCAGGTCCCAGCTGTGGCGGCGCGGGCCCGGCCAGCAGCTGGTGCACGAGGGCAGCTCGCCGCCGCAGCCCACGGACGCGCTGCAGGACGACGAGAACACGCTGTCGCCCCACGCCATGGTAACGCGGGGCGGTCATATCGTGCGTGCACGTGTTGCGGTATATATACATATATGTACAGCGCGCGCGTCCGCAGGTGCTGGACATCGCGGAGGCGGCGCCGCGGCCGGGCGTGGGCAGCGCGCTGGTGGTGCGGCGCGCGGACGGGCGGCGCGCCTCCACGCAGGCGTGGCGCCTGGCGGGGGCGCGCGGGGGGCGCGGGGGGCGCATGCAGTGCGCGCACGCCAACCTGTGCGTGCGCCCCGCCGCGCCCGCCGGCCTCGTGCCCGGCAACCGGGCCGTGCTCGCGCTGGTAACCGCACATCTTTATTTTTCTTTGCGTTCAAAAGCTGGCGTTCTTTGAGAATTGTGTACGGTGAATGCGGTGTGCAGGCGGGGGAGGAGGGCGGGTGGGACGTGCGCTGGCTGACGCTGCGGCCGGGCTCGGGCCGGCTGGCGGTGCGAGTGCACGCGCAGGGGCCCACCAGGCTGCTCGCCGTCACCGACGCGCACGCCCAGGTAGCTATGCTCGGCGGAGGGCCCTCCGGCACGCTCGGCGCTCCGGGAACGAGAACGTAATATCGTGGAACGTGTCCGCCAGGAGTCGAACTGGATCGAGTCGGCGGACAAGGACAAGGAGGAGGAGGAGGAGGCCTCGGGCGGGCGCGGCGAGTGGGGCGTGCGCGTGCAGCTGGGCGGGGTGGGCGTGTCGCTGGTGGGGCGGGGGGCGGAGCTGCTGCACGCGGCGCTGGCGGGCGTGGCGCTGGACGTGGCGCGCGCCCGCCATCTGGCGCTCGCGCTCACCGTGCACCACATGCAGTGGGACAACCAGGTCGTTACTGGCTTCGCGCCGACTCGCTTGTCCGTTGTGCGCGATACGAGGACGTTTGGTGACGTGACGGTATGTGGCTGTGCAGCTGCTGGGCACGCCGTCCCCGGTGCTGCTGTACTGCCTGCCGGAGCGCGGCGGGGGCGGGGGAGGGGGCGGGGGCGGGGCGCTGCCCGCGCTGCACGCGTCGCTGGAGGTGGAGCGCGCGCACCACCGGCGGTACAACGCGGTGTTCTTCAATCATCTAGTCGTGGTGCTCAAGCCGCTCGCCGTGCGTCTAGAGGAGAGGTACTTCCCACCTTTACGTTGTGTATATCTTTCAGCGAAACCGCCGTCGTTGAAATGGAACGGATCCCGCCTCTGTGGTAGCCCCCCTCCGGCTACCCCATGTACCCTAACCTGACCACACCCTAAGACGACCACACCCTATTTCTTTTTTCAAATATTACTATTAACTATAGAATACAATAGAATAAATTTATTTGCAAGAAACATGGAAACATTATAGCTAGTTTGTTACAATTAGAGACACACATATTTCACCAAAGTATGGCATGCAAAAATGTTTTTTCATTAATTTATCAATAAAAATTGAACAATAAGAATTAAACAATTTCATATCACAAATCAATCAACCAAAACAAAAATATTACAATTTTATAACATAACGGTCAGTCAATATAATGTCAGAATAAAAACATTAATTATGTCATTACTCGTAAATATAATTTTATTTAAAGTCAAAATATCAGACTATATTAATTATTGTTGAAATATTCATTTAGGTTATATGGAGACTTTATAGTCAACCATTTACGCAAAGCTGTAGCGAACCGGGTTGCAGGCAGTTTTCTAATATGCATAGGAATGTTATTGTACACCATAATGCACATGCCGTAGCAATTTCTTTGAAAAAATGCACTCCCCAGCGATGATTGCTGTTGCAATCGTGTTCCATCTCTCGGACGCAGTCGAGGATTTTTCATAGCGTCAATTTTTGGGAAATGTTCAGGATGACGTCTGACAAGCATACCCATCTATAAAATATACATACCTGTTAAGGTTAACACTTGTAATTTTCGAAACAGAGGTCGACATGAGTCCATAGGCCCTGCTCCACAAATGGCTCTAATGCATTTCTTTTGCATAAGGAAAGCATAGTTTATGTCAGGAAAGCTACCCCACAATGTTATGACATATCTCAAAACTGATGATACATAACCATAATAAGCGGTTAAAGCTACCCTTTTGCCAGCCGTATATCTTAATCTCTTTAATGCGTACACAAACTCTTTAATGTTTAGAGCAAACATTATTGATGTGAGCTTTCCAGTTATAATGTTGATCAAGAATGACACCCAAAAATTTTGTTTCACTCACTTCATTAAGCTTATCGTCTTTGTGAATTATATCTAACTTAAAAGGAGTTGATTTATAATTTGAAAACTAGTCCATTTCTAGTTAGCCATGCGTCAACACACTTTACAATCTCATTTAGGGTAGAAATACCATTTTTTTTTTCCTCTGATACTGTTACTGATACATCATCTGCATATAGAATAGTTTGGTGATTAAGTGATTTTGGTAGATCATTAATATAAGTTAGGAACAGAAATGGCCCAATTACACTTCCCTGCGGCACACCACGTTCATTTACTAAAGATAGAGATCTGTATGGAATAACTTCACCGTCCGCATTTAGTTTAGTTACTTCGACACACTGTTTACGATTCGAGAGGTAACTCGCCAGCCAGTCCAGAGCATTACCCCTGATGCCGTACTTATCACATTTTTGTAACAGTATTTCATGATCAACGAGATCAAAAGCTTGAGCTTGAGAATCTTTTTATCTATGTTACTCGTAACAGATTTCATCTACATAAATGCTGCGAGTGAGGTGGATTTATCCTTTTGGAAACCATATTGCTCCGGAACAATGACTCTATTCTTTGTAAAAAAGTTTTAAATACGGCTTACTAACGCTTCCTCAAATATTTTTGAAAGTACAGAGACAAGGGAAATAGGTCGATAGTTATTAATGTGTAGCTTGTTATTTTTTTTGTGTATTGGCTTTATTATAGAGAGCTTTAGCGCTTCTGAAATCTGTCCTTGCTCATATGAGAGGTTTATAAGATGAGTCAACACAGGAGCCAAAATGTCAGCGCATGTCTTGAATAAAAAAGTAAGGAGAGAGTCAAATCCTACCGACTTAGTGTTGTTTAGCGAAGTAATAATTTTTTTAAGCTCTTGCACTGTGCAAGGCCGTAAAAACAAAGAATTATTTACAGTTTCTATACCGTCATTCGAGTTCACAATGTCAGCTTCATTATCTTTATGTTTTATAAAATGCATATTAAATATTTTTGCCATGTCAATAGGATCATTTATCACTGTACCAATAAAAATAATGTCTTCAATTTCATTAGGTAACTTTACATTATCACGTTCGTCTCTAATTACCGTCCAAGTTACTTTGTATTTATTTTTAGCATTCAAGATAAATCGACTAGTAATTTGGTGTATTTATTAATCTTATTTTTTTATCTAGAGTTTTACACAAAACATACTGACGTCTCAGTTCTCGCTTTTTGCCACTAGAAACCTTAATCCCTTTAGTAATCCATTTTCTTTTACCACCATTCATTTTCACTCTGATTCTCTTAGTAGGAATACAAAGATTAAAAAATAAAATTAAGTCTTCATGGAAACTATTAAATGCCTTATCAACGTCGGTTCCACTTCGATAAACATAGTTCCAAGTGAGGCTGGATAAGCATTTCTTAAAAATGTCGATATTATGCTTGCTATAGTCTCTAATATTCTTATACCAGCAAGCCAAAAAATTTTCTTTTGTCAATATTGAGAATTCTAGGGTTTGTCTAGTGTCATGATCAGACAATTGTAAACTGTGTACTTCACCTTTGGCATTTTTTATGTTACTTGTGATGTGATCAATGCAGGATGCCAATCTCGTAGGCTCATTTATATGTAATTTAAGGTTAAAAGTTTTCAGTAATGTTTTGTAATCCCTAGTAGTACGATCGTCTTTCAGAGTATTTATATTCATATCTCCAGTAATGAGAATACGTTTAGTTCTATATTTCGTCAATTTGTACAAAGTTTGCTCCAACAATAGTAAAAAAATTTATAAATTAGAATATTTAGGTACTCTATAAAGACATACAATTATGCATTTATAAGTGGGTATTTCAACAGCACAGCACTCAAAGATCCCTTCCTCTGAAAGTTCACAACATACATCAAGAATTTTAAATTTTAACTGCCTACGAACCAGCACGCAGATACCTCCACGTTTTTGCTTTGCTCTACAGAAGGAAGCAGCTAACTTATAGTTTTTAAACCTAATGTTGTTTTCAGAGCCTCGTTTCACAAACGTCTCAGAAAAACATAAAATATCAAGTTCTTTATTACGTTCTTTAAATTCATCAATACATAATTCTATTGTACTTAATTTATTCAATAAGCCTTGAACATTTTGGTGTAGTACATTTACCACAGTCTTTTTCTGACTGTTAGGTCCGAAAAAATGAAGAAAATTTATCTATTCCTATATTTGTTTCATCGCAGGTTTTTAGTCCTATATTTGTTTCATCGCAGGTTTTTAGTATGTGAGAAATAGGTGCACCACTAAAGATGCAAGACATAGGCTGATACTTGTCATTCCATTTATCAATTCTTGATTTTTTTAATACCTATAGCTGACAAACCCGCAAGAGAATCATCTCCCACTATTTTAATTTTATATTTACGTTCATTAAGTATTTGTGAGTTTATAACTAGCTGGTCGTTCGTCGTTATGATCTCTTTTACCGGATCGTTTTGCTGAGGAGAGATATCTGTAGAAAGATTTATGTAGTTGCTACATACACTGCTTCCTAATTGTCGACGTTTAGAGCTGTTGTGCATCCTTGAAGGTGTTTTTTAAATGAACCACAAATTGTTTTCAATTGTAGAATTTTATTTTCTTGTCTGGTATTAATCTCTTTTAAGGAGCCATTTTCTGATAATAAATTGACAATTTCCTGTTCGGCAGAGGCCAACTTTTCAGTTAAGTTTGCAACTTTGCACTCCAATTCTTTCACTCTTTCTGTGATGTTTAGTGATCTTATATCAGGACGACTTCTATTTAATGTATTAGTGGACTCAGGGGAAGAATCAGGTATTGTGTCCTCCTCTTCATAGTCAACCGACAGTGATTCAAACGAATTCTCAGTCACCACAACGTTAGTGTGTTTTCTTCGGTGTGTGATGTTTCTAGTCTGTGTACTTATGTCTTCGATTATTCCAATATTATCTTTTGATTGAGGAGTAGAAAAACGATTACAGCTTCTAGGGCTTGAAGTGGCTTGTGGAGAAATAATTGTTTTATTAGTATCGTCTTATACTATGTATCTCGTCTATGTCCAGAGGCGTCGCCGTGTCCATTTATGTAGGTTCTGCCTCTATCCGAAATTCTGACTTCTGTAACTGATACGGCGAATTTTTATTTTCGGATATCCGATAATTTTTATTTCGAAGCTCCTGATGTCCCCCATTAGAATAACTAATGTTCATACATAAGCGAAGCTTATAGCGGTCTACTCGTCCTTCCTGTGATCGTTCCAGTAACTCGGAGATAACACGAGCAGGCCCGCCCTATTCCCTAGGACGCGCCCCCGCCCGGCGTAACACTTGTGACGGACCGACGATAATCGGTCGCGGTTCGAAGTATAAACGGGGTGATCTTTCACGTAGCAATTCTGCAACAAAACAGATTTGGTTTATAACTCTCCACATACTTCATATATTTTTTAGTCAAATAAAACTACTTAAGCACAAACTATCGAAATATTAATATGCCTATTTCGATGTTTGCTAAACATCTAATCGAATCAGTGTGATATTGAAACTTGAAACTCTTGGTATGCAGATTGATCCTGCTGTTGTGGCTGTGGGCGAGTGGTGGAGCGGGCGCGGAGGGGGAGGGGATAGTAGAGGAGGAGGAGGAGGAGGAGGGGGCGGCGCGACGGATGCTCACCGACCTCACTGCGCTCGCCGCCACCAGGTATTACTTCGGACTCATCAAGATCATGCCCAGTCAGGTCAGTGTCTCTAATACTAATGATTGTAATAAACTGTTTTCGAAGTCGAAAAAGAAATTCTTAATTTTAAATAAAATAAAACACGTCAAGGATTTTATTTAAATGTTTACAGAAAGCGACGGGCAAAAAGGTCGGCTCCCGATTTTCAAAAAATATGCTATTTGCATGCGTATTTAAATTATTGTGTATGATATTTTAGACTAAGATGCTTTTGTATTATATCGCTAGTCACGTCTTTTTTTAGTATTTAAAACACTGATGCAGTCAAAATATTGATGTCGATGCTACATTATTTAATTATTAACTCCGACATATGCCGTAACAAATTTATTAGGTAATTGCTATACACAGTAATTACTTTGTAGAAGTAATAGCTACAGCAGAAATATTTTCTCTGTTTCACCGAAAACAAAGATTCGTCTATATTCGAAACGCCAATATGACTCGTAAAGCATTTTCGTCATTTATGCTGCAACGAAAGCAGGACCCCGCCTCTGATGCACAGATAATTTCCACGGATATGATTTTTAGAAAACAATCCGATATTCGTTCGTGGATAATCAGAGTAGGCCCTCACATTTGACATAGTAGAAATTTTCACGTTAAAGTTTGATCTGAAGATAATGATATAATTATGATCACCAACTGTTATTACAAAAAGGTTGTTACTGAATCTCCCAGTTTTATAAAAGGACTTCATAATAATAAACGTGCTAGCAACACAGAAGTAAATATTAACTAGACTAGACATGTGTCGGTACAAACAAAGTAATATTCTTCTATACGTATTACAACACGACCGTACAGACACAGACGCCAACAGACACGGACCGTGGCCCGATATTCTGCGCGGTTAGTGTATTGGGCTATGCCTGGCCTGTGCGCCACCACGCATCTGGCGCAACTCAATGTCTGTCGGTATAAACGAACCTTAAGAGTCAAAGGTTTGACAATAGGAAATGGAAATGCAGTGACAGCAATTGCGCACTGTCACCGTTGCATTATTACATTGTATTTTAAAACATTCACCTCTCATCTTTTTGATGCTAAAGAAATCAAAGCAAACGCAATCAAAAGGTTCGGCATGAATGGGCCGGCTCGACCGGAGTGATACCACGGCCTCACAGAAAACCGACGTTTCGTCGTGTGAGTGAGGGTACCGGAGGCCCAACCCCTCCCTATTCCCTTCCCTCTACCCCTCACAACATCAAGTTATAGATCGACATAAAAACAAAGTTTTACAAGTTGTGTGTCAATATTAAACTATTTATAGTATGTTAAACTATCGTCTCTTGCTGAGATTAACCGATTTTTAACCGACTTCAAAAAAAGAAGGTTACAAATTCGACCTGTACGTATGTAATATTTCCAGAACTGCCCAGTTTTCAGATATGTTATTCTATACCACCACAGTGTATAGTAGATATCACCGTCTGAACAAATGTGCCAAGTATCAAAAATGTGTGTATGTATGTTTTTTGGTTGTTAATTATTTATTACAATTCGATTGATTAATAATGTCAGAACTCCTTTTATATTTTGTAAAAGAAACAATGTCTAAAACATTAAAAATGACAACCCTATGGTTTCATTGGAGCGTAGGTATTTATTTTATCAAATAGGCTTAGTTTCTATACTGTGTTATACTTATACTGTGCCTCAACCCTTCCCTCCCTATGATCATATTCGTTCCTCAAAGGCCGGCAGCGCGCTTGTAGCCCCTCTGGTGTTGTCCATGGGCGACGGTAATCACTTACCATCAGGTGATCCGTCTGCTCCCTATCCCATAAAAAATAAAAAAAAATCACAGTCACCTTCATCAGAGAATTCACGCTGCCTAGCATCGAACCCTGAAACCAAAAGCATGGTTAAAACCAAAGCTTGTCGAATATAAAATGTTGCTAGTAATCACAACTCGTATAATAGATCCGTTTGTCGATGACAACGGCGAGTAAGCTGGAAGGTGAGCTGAGTGCACTGAAGCGTCGGCTGGGGCTCACTCTCATCAAGTTCGAGGACGCGGCGGTAGAGTTGGAGCCGTTTGTGCGCGCGCACGTGTTCGAAACTGCTCCCCAGCTGGCCGAACAACTGCTCAGGCACTTTAAGGACGTGAGTACAGTCAACAGCACGTTGAGTTACAGAAAACTTTCAATTTGTTTTACACCTGGGAATGGGAACTGGTAATATATTAACAATATTACTTATCGACCGAAGTAATACGCAACTTTCATACAGTTTTTATTCAGTTTGGGTGACTCCTTATTATCGTCGCAGTTTGACAGCATTTTTTTTTTCACATTACAGTGATAGTTTCGGAAACAGTATTTTAAGGTATAGGTAATTTACTAAACAACTGTAGGAGCTGAAGTGGCAAGCGGCCAAGATCCTGGGCTCGGTGGACTTCCTGGGCAACCCTCTGGGCTTCGTGGCGGACGTGTCCGAGGGCGTGAGAGGGGCTTTTCTGGAGGGCAACATCTCCACACTTTTCAAGAACGTGACGCACGGACTTTCCAATTCGGCCGCCAAGGTCACCGGTACGTACGGCAGACCATCCTTACTGCATGATTCGACCACTCTACCTTGTTCCATTTAAAGCGACGAATGATGTAAACAAACAACTCACCGGAACTATTTATGGAGTTTCCACAATGATCCAACGACGAAATGCAATCGAACTTAGATTATAACTTTTAATACCATTTTTAAAGACAAGCAGCAATATCACAGTTTTCAGGAAAATAATACATTCTAAACTAATTATTGACGTAAAGAGCAACTCAGTCGGGCAAATTAAAATTATTGATGAAAAAAATTGGCAATTTGTAGTAAATATATGTCAAAACCCCCACTTTCGAGCCTCGCATTATTAATGGACGGCCCCTTAGTGTTTTGTTTCTACGAGAATCGTCCCAAACGACGCGAAGGCGAACTAATGTGTGTGGCGAATAATATTCACCAGAAGGTCGCTTAATATTTATTTCCCATAAACTCTCGCTTTAAATTTATATTTAGTGTTTAATTAAGTAAACTTGTTCGGTTGTCATGATAATATACGATTTTTTTAATGTTATAACACGAATTTCATTATATATTATACTACTCTGAGATTAGTTATATTCATTTAAGACAAGTTTTATGGAAAAAGTCAGTCACTAAATGACATGAATGAGATAGTTAAATTAATCAAATTCATAATAATATGTCCAATCACTAAAACTGTCATGGAGCCATATTTGTTTACATCTTATGTCACTTTAAATGAAACAGGATATATGTAATGTTGTTTTAAGTTTTCATGGTCATTTACATTAGAATGATAGGGATGGGATTGCAACCTTTCTGTCGAGTTGCCGAACACGGGGCAACTGAAGTTATTGCGGGTGGGTGTCGTAGGCAGATATGTCTATATACCTTCTTTCTAAGACTTTCTTTCAATACCCGTACCACTGTTCACTAGGTCACCAGGTGCAGTGAACAGGTGCATGTTGCACCTGTTCACTGCACTGTACGCACTGCATCGGGTTGCGAAACTACACTTTTTTTATTTATCATCTGGTTTTGACACTGGATACGAATCACTGGATTCCACACACTCGACAATTTAAATCCGTCCTCACGATTGAAATTCTTGTGCTTTGTTTGTTCATACCTTATAGACATCAAGCTTTCCAAAGAGATATTATCTCTAGAAGAACGTGGGTATTTTTCGTAAAGGAGTCGAAACAGTATTGTTGAGTACTTATTATGTATATTAGAGATCTTGTCAGTCACTCCTTTTACATATGGCAAAAATACCGGTTGTCTAGGTGTTAATCGTCCTTTGTATCCATTACTCTGTAGGACCTTTCGTATATGGTCGTGGTCCTTGAGAAAGTGTACCTTATCACCTAGTTCGTACGCTCGGTTTTGAGTGATGGCACAACAGAGTCCAGGTGTTTCGGGCGAAGATGTTTTGAGATAGCGGTCAGCATGTGTCGATTTGCGGTAAACGCGATGGCTAAGTGAACCGTCATCCCTCACCCTCACATCGAGAAATGCCAGACTTCTGTTTTCTTCTTCCACGCAAGGAAAGTTTCAATAACTTCAGCTGCCCCGTATCCGTGGCGCTCACCTATCGGATCTGTTGATTTAAACGGGACCTCGGTCACGTATCATACTTCGCAAAAGAAGTTCACCTATTGCCTGATGTCCTAATGAAGTCGAATGCTCCGACTCGGTTATCGATAATTCTCTAATTACGGCAGTACGATCAAAGAGCAGTGTCGGGGCCGGCTAGGTATTATATTTACTATGTGTGCGTCAGAGTCTCTGGGTGACGGCCTCGAGCGCGTGGTGAGCGACGAGGCGCACGAGGAGACGCGCCGCCGCATCCGCAGCGCCGCCGCCGGGGCGCATCTGGCCGCCGGCATCAGGGGGCTGGGGCTCGGCATACTGGGTTAGTACGCGCGCGCTCGTACGGATACAGCCACTCGTACGTGTACTCGTCTATACCTATGCAATATGACCTCGCGCAGGCGGCATGACTTCCCTGGTGAAGCACAGCTACGAGGGCGCGGCGTCGGAGGGCCTGCCGGGGTTCCTGGCGGGCGTGGGCAAGGGCCTGGTGGGCACCGTCACCAAGCCCGTCATCGGAGTCCTGGACCTCGCCGCCGAGACCGCCTCTGCGGTGCGGGACACCAGCAGGAGGTACGTCACCGATAATATTTTTTAAATAATAATAAGTTTAAGCAGAATCATGAATTTGGACATTTTATTTATTTATTAAATATTTACCCTCCAATCCGCATTGGGCCAGCGTGGAGGGTCATGGCCCATCCTCCTTAACCATCCATAAGGAAGGCCTGAGCCCCTGCAGTGGGGACGTAAAAGGGCTGGTGGTGGATTTATTTATTTATTTATACAGGCACACAAAACAGATTACAGTCATAAAAAGTAAATACATATTTGACAAACTAATTGGGTCTGGACTACAATCTAGAACTATGCGTACACAACATGGTAATAATAGTTGTCTCATAAAATTAATAAAATAAAATGTTTATATACATATATTTTACAAACTATAGAAAAGAAAAGAAAATTCGTTTTAACATTGATAAGTCCCTATTTTATTTATTGTTTTATTCCTTATTTAGGTGCAAAGCTCTCTTACGCTTCTTTTAAATTTCACAAATGAAAAGTGAAAAATATCGATATCTTTGTCAAGCACAGCGATTTCGTTATAGCAGCGACACATTCGAACAAGTGGATTGAAATAGGAGGAATTATTTGTGCATACCCTCAAGGAGAACACCGAGTGACTTACATCACGAGATCTAAATTTAGTTTTGAAATTAAGATGTGATAACAAGGTTGGCGAATCAATATCAGAGTGTAATAGTTTGTGCAAACATAGTAAGTCATTACACTTGCGGCGACTCTCAAGACTCGTGAGACCAAATTTTTTTAGTCTATCTTGGTAAGATACAAGTGTCCTTTTTGACCCATACCGAAAACATAGTAACCTCGTGAATTTCTTTTGTATCTTCTCAATTCGATCACAGTGAACCTTGTAAATCGGATTCCAAACCACACTGCAATATTCAAGAATGCTCCTGACAAGAGCATTGTATAAATAAACAAGACTGTCTGGACGTCTAAAACCTCTAAAGGTCTGTGCCGCTTTATTAATAATACTTTCATAGTGAGCATGAAAAGTTAATTTTTCATCAAAAATAACTCCTAGATCTCTTACTTTACTCTCACGATTCAGTGATTGATTATTAATCTTATAATCATAATTCAATCTCTTAATTTTTCGAGTAAAAGAAACGACAAAGCACTTATCTATGTTTATAACCATATAATTTTTGTCACACCATTTGACGATCGTATTCAGGTCTTGTTGCAGCACTTCAGCATCAGTTTCGTTGTCCACAATCGCATAGACCTTCAAGTCATCCGCATACAGTAGACAGTGGCATGATAACTTCTGTATAAGATCGTCAACAAAGACTATGAATAAAAGCGGACCAAGATGTGAGCCCTGTGGTACGCCAGAATGAATAATGAGAGGAGCCGAAAGATGTCCCTTTATTGCAACAAGTTGACTTCTATTACATAAATATGATTCCAGCATTACATAAATATGAGTCTATTACATAAATATGACATGCACGGTGTTTCGCGCAGATCGGACAAGTGGGTGCCGGGTCGCGTGCGGGCCCCGCGGTGCGCGGCGACGGCGCGCGGGCTGTTGCCGCGGTACTGCCCGCAGCAGGCGGAGGGCGCGGCGCTGTTGCACGCGCTGGCGGGGCCCGCGGGCCCCGCGGGGGCGGCGGGGCGCGCGGGGGCCTCAGGGCGCGCGGAGAGGTTCCTGGCGTACCGGCAGGTGCGCGACCATCCGCACGACATCCGCGCGCTGCTGTCCGACACGTACCTGCGCATCGTCACCTGCAAGCACGTCACGCCCCACGTCGTCATGGAGACGCATCTCAGGTCGGGGCCGCATGTAGCTTACCTTTTTATATTTGTATTTTGATTTGGATTCGGGGCCCCCCTCCTCCGTTGGTGAGGTGATGTTGCGGAGGTCATTTGCGCCGATATCGGTCGTCGGTTTTAAAAATGATCACGTCGGGTCTAGCCGAAGCCTCTTCTCGATTTCGAGAGGCGCGTAGGACCGTCGGTCCCGACTTCGCGGTCGATCGTCGACACTCGGCGGTTCATCCAGAGTCCGGTCCGTTCTTCGCTTCGTTGTAAGAGATCTCGCATTTTAGACCTTTTTCTCTTTTAAATTTTATTCTTGCAACTATTTAGTATCGATAGTCGATACCGATAGTCGAATATCCTCCGGCTGTATTTCTACAAACGCAGGCTACTAAACGTCTGCACGGTGGACCCGCGACATCCCACGAAGTTGTCGCGGGACACTATCGACACGTTACTCCGACCGTCTGTGAAATCAAAAGTATTTTCGTTATGAAAAGCAGAAACAAAATATTTTTTTTAAACGTATTCAAGTGCGAGTCTTTTGTAGAATTTATATCTATCTATCGATAAATAGCGTACCGTTTCCCCGTCCAGCAACCTGGTGTCGTGCTCGACGGTGTCTATCGACGGCGCCCACTACGTGGAGCTGTGCGTGCGCGGGGGCGGGGCGGGCGCGGGGGCGGGGGCGGGGTCGGGCGCGGGGGCGGGGGCGGGGGCGGAGGTGGTGCGGCGGCCGCGCGTGCAGTGCGACAGCGCGGCGCTGTGCGCGTGGGTGGCGACGCACGCGGCGCTGGCGCGGCGGCTGCACGCGGAGCACGCGCAGACGTTGCACCCACACCCCGACCTCGGGCAGATACAGTAAAGCAGCCTATTTCGTGACTCGAGAAAAAGATTATTATCCTCGGTTGTGACTTTCACCCTTATAATTCTGGACGCTGTATTTTGTTATTTACGATCCCCATTCTTCTTTATTATCTAAACGAGTAGCTCATTGAAACGAGCCCGATCGCTCGTATGAACAGTGTGAATATGTCGCCTCGTTTTAATCTATATAGAAATTGAATCGTGACGATCTTGTGAACTATTAATAAACCGAAGATATCACGAACACGAATTGAACGGTACCTTCCAAAAATAAAATGAACATAATCTTTTGGACATCTATCTATCTTGTACTTAAAAAATGACACTATACGATATCGATTAATTTAAATGTAATAAGATACGGTTAAAATGTATATAAGTATGTATATATTGCTCCTTTAAATTATGAAACATTTTGAATGTTTATAACACTATATAGTAGGACCGATCGAAGACTGATGTCGTTGTAGACGCATTGAGTTGTTCTGTTAGTTAATTTAACGACCGCGAACGATTATGTTATAAATAATCTACGCGTATTGCAGTAACGCACCTGAAGCTCCGGCAGCAGGATTATGTATATTTTTGAGTAGGATATACTTTGAGAAGAACGACTGCAGCTCCATGCGAGGACCGGCCCCCTAATTGTCTAATTTTAAATCTATTGCAATCGATTTCAGTTTGAAAGGTGTTGCACAACCATTGCTTGTTTCTGAAGACAGTTGAAAAAAAAGTATTTGTATTATGCAGCAATGTACAACACCTTTCAAACTGAAAGCGATTGCAATAGATTTAAAATTAGACAATTAGGGGGCAGTTTTATCGAATTAATATCGACAATGAACACAGAACACATTAATATGTTATGGGTGAATACTATCTTTAATTTATTGACTTTTAAAAGTAAGTTCGTGTGTTACTAGTGAGTACGGCTCTTGTTATTGTTGTGTACAGGATAGAATACGTATTTATTTTATTATATAACATGTTTTATTTCAAAAGGTCACTTGATAATATTTCTCGTCGTAATGTAGATAAGCTATTACGATACCGCAGAAGTTTCTTTTTATTATTTTTACGAGTAATGTTTCTAGGAAACGAAAATTATTACAAATACACGTTCTTTATCATTTGTTAATTTATCTGATTACGTTATAGGTGTAGCTAGGATGAGCACAGATATTAAGATAATATAACCGTTACTTAATGTTATTATTTATTAATGTTCGCAAAGCGGAGAATCGTGTTGTGATAGTGCTGTATAGTAATATAGGTATTATTTTTATTAAAATTTCAATAATCCATCGTCACCGTCAAGAAGTAGTTTACGTCTTTTTCTTTTAGTGTGTTTATGTGTAACGTTTCTGATGAAATTGTTCAATATTTTATTAAGGGAAATAAACCCTTAGAGTGCTGTTAATAAAGAAGGTTTAGCGTAAGAGTAAATTAACGTTAAAATTGCAATTTTAGTACGAGTCCTTTATGGTATACACAGAATAAGCAAACCTCCTACCTTCTAGGAGTAATATTACGCCCGTAGAACCTCGTCCTTTGTCAAGTCTCTGTTTAATAATAGGAATTTTGACTAACACTAAGTGCAGAGTAAATTTACTCCAACACTAAGCCTTGTTTGTTAATAACACTAAAAGTTTTAAGTTTATTTAAGAAGTAGGACCATTTGTGTTGAGACTTAATTTTTTATGGGCCGATTTAAAAACATTTAAAGCACATACATACCCGCAAAGTTTTCTATGTTATTTAGCAGCATAATTAATTTTGTCAAGTAAGTTTAGAGCATGTAAACTTCAGTCGTCGTGTCAATAATAGGTAAACAATGTGTTAAAAGTTTGATAGGATGATTCAATACCATTTCCTAATTACATTATTAGGAATTTTTCACAAATCAACTTGAAATGCATTTTTATTCACACCATTTATCAATGTACGACGGATGTCTATTTGTAATATCATATGTTTTCATAAAGGTGATGGTTAGATATCTTAGATAATTTAATAATTCTGTATAATATATCATATTATATATGATATGGCCTGTAACGAGCTAAGTTTCAGCTGTGATCTGTGAAGTATGCCACAAAGGCCGTCGTAACTATCGAATGGTAATGGCGGGAACAGTTCATTTATTATTACACCATAAGCTTACTTTGAACGAAACGTATGATCAGGTTAACAGTTTGATGTTTTAATTATGTATTTTAATGGGCAGTTAGTTAAATTCTGAGTATGATTTACATATTTTGAAATAATCCAAAAGCAATTATAACTACTGAAATGCTACACCAGTTATAGATTACACCACCTCCTATAACATATTGATATGTACCTAACGGCTGTATTAGTTTTAGTTAAGCTACCAAAGTATGTCTCATTGTTGAATGTAAACAGGCTGATTGTATTTTTCCTCGTAACATTTATTTAATTTAAATATAACAATAATTAAACACTGACAGCAATAAATGTGTTCATTAAAATATTTGTTTGTTTTATTACACTAAAGTATCTTTTTATGATAAATGTGCGGTGTTGTTTACGATGATAAAAGTGTGAACTCTCGAGTGATTGTGGCGTAATCTGAGCGCGCGAATGATTGGCCGCGGCTGCGATTTGATCAAGCGTAGTGCGTAAGCGCAGTGGGACGCGGATAGGCGCGCGGGCCGCTCGTATATTTAGAAAAAGAATTGTTCCGCGTCACATGTTCTGGCGCCTTGAGGTCAACAATCTAATTGAAGGAAAACGTGCGTATATTATTTAGATCAATCTAAGGCTCTCTAATATTTATACTCGAGCAGAATAAGTTTCCGGGGAGGTTATCTTACTTTGGTATTGTTGTGATTGTTTTAGACATGATTCTAATAGATATAGTACTATTGTTTACTGTAAAAATTGTATCTATGGACGCGATGGCCTTCACGACAGACGCCAAGGGAAAGTTAAGTTGCGACGAGTGGAATTAAACAGCCTCGAAATGAATTAAAAGTTTTACAGATAAATATTTATTTGTTTTTATTAAAGCTTTGTAATATGAAATTGACGTATTACGAAGTTGGATCGATTTCATTTTAGTTATTATTTATTATATGCTTAGGATGGCGTCGTTGGACTATTCTAAAATGTTGATTGAAGAGAAAGATCTTCATGTACCGCCACTCGAAGAAATTGCCGAGGGTGAGTTCGTAATTACAAACTAATCGTAACATATTTAATATTTTATTTACATACTTAGTAGATACCTACATTATTTTGTTTGACTATTTTTAATTGTTCTATCATAGTCAAAAATAGTAATAATTACTTGTAAAGTAATAAAGTAGTGGTTAGGTTATACATAATATTGTATGTTTGGTCAGTGTTATCGCGCGGTCTGCAGGCCACCTTCGAGACCGTGGAGGTCTCTGTGGTGGAGTGTCCGGACCTCACGCAGCCGCCCTTCCACCTCACGTCACCAGGTTAGGCTTCATTATAGTCTGTAAGTCTACACAGAAACAGTGATCCACCGTTGACTTTCGCTCACCGGCTGCTTCGTGACATCTTTATCGGAACATATTATGCCACTGTCGGCAGCAATAGTCTGGTCGCACTACAAAAGTACGGTAATTGGGGCCATAGATAGGAAATGTAGACCGACGCTGCATAGGGTTGCTCTCTCTGTCACACACCCACGACGTTAAAATATTTAATTGTGTAGACAGGATTCGCATAACCGGTGTCAGGACCGAATTTTTTGCAGACAACCCTATAGCAATGTGTGCGTACCTGAAACAGCGCTTATGTTGAAATTAAATATTTTTAATTATCAAATCAAGTGAAATTAACTGGCATCGATATACCTGAGAATACCGGACAACCCAGTAGTTCGTCCAGGTAAAGAATAGACAACCGAACGTCTGCACATTCCATATGTTTTATACTTTAAGTCAGAATTAAATTTTGCTTATTATCTCGATGTTGCAACATTGAATAGACTTTTTTTTTGAAATAATGGACCATATGCTGTCTAGGATTAACTTAGCGAACCCATTTTTAATATATTGTCTAATAGACGAAATTAATTATATAATAAGTTTTATTCCATTATCAACCCGGTGAAGGTCGATATAGGTATCGGATCTTAGACTATAACGCCAATGTAAGAAACTCAATGGCAGTTGTTGACTTCAAGTTTTTTTGGTTCCCTAGTAAATAAATAATTATTAATAATTAATAAGTTCCCTAGAAAATAAGGATCTTCTATAGTTCCACCATGTCTGTCCCGTTCGTGCGCGGGTTAGCTCAAAAACTATTGGTACTAGAAAGTTGTAAGTTAGGCATCGTTGGATAGGTCTTTCAAAAATAAAGGCGGATGAAGGCCATTTTTCAACTAAGTAAACCGTTCGTGATTTATAAATTTTAAAAGAGCTAATTTTCGTTTAGAATCAAGTGTACCCCCCCCCCCCTCTCTCTACCAAATGAAGGTCGTTGGTAGAAATAGTTAAAAGGAAAACAATTACATTTAAATTGGCTTTACAAGATTACGAATAATAGTCGACTTCTAACAACATAGAAAACAAAAAACGTATTTTATTTATGGATAATGGTACGGGACCTTTCGTGTGCAAGTCCGACTCGCACTTGGCCATTTTTTATATCAACATTATGAAATGTAGCCGTTAAGGTACGCTGTAACCCTTAGGATTCTTGTAAAGGTAAAGCGTAGGTTTGTTCAGGCTTCAAGTAAAAAAGAACAAAACAAAAAATTGTTTTAACTATCTTTTTTTTTATCTCAGGGGTGTACAGTAGGTAAACAGCTATGGTCCTTGAGACTTCTATTGGGAGTAGGGAATGCAATGTCGCGAGTTTATGAATATCAATTCGCCAGCGAGATTTCGCCAATTAGAATGTCTAGAGTCGGGATAACGTAGGACGCCATTTACCCTGCTGGAAATGTAGCGCGGGTAATTTATTTCCGATGAGGTTGTCAAAGAGAGATCTTGTCGATTGCATAGTGCTTTCCGTTAGGTCTGTGCGGTAATCCGAAGCTGATAGAGATCGGTGGACCTCCGTACCTAATGCCGCATGTGCAGCGAGACAAGTTGTATGACATGGTTGAGCTCGTGCGGCAACAATACAGGGACCCGGCCTTCCTGGGCGGGGCCGGCGCCGGGCCCTGGCCGTACCTCGATGTCAACTGCGAGGTACCAATACGATTCTGATACATGACTTTAGACATCAGTTTACTAAATGATAGATAGATTTATATATTTTATTGTATACACCAAAATACAGAGAAAACAAAACATAAACAAATACACTTAAGTGTCACAATCGGTGGTCCTCTCACTATATAGTGCTCTCTTCCAGATGACCTTCTTCAATACAAAAAAAATTTGCTCTATAAAGAAACAAGTAATAAGTTGACCACTGAACTTTAACCGAACCCATCAGACGCTGGTTTAAGCTTAGGGATATATATCTATATTGGGGTGATATTGGGGTGATAATTATGTTTGTGATTGCGGCGTCTTATCATTTTTCAATCGGTCAGCATAACATATTAGAAATTAGAAAACTAACTTTGTCATTTTTTAATAATAAAAAAATTATTGATTAGTTAAAAATATGTCGAGGTCGGCCTATAAATATCGACTGTATAGGGCATAATAAACTTGAGTGTGCGCAACGGCACGGTGAAGCAAGGCACCCGCATCGTGACGGTGCACCCGCGCGGCGCCGCCAAGGGCAGCAGCGGCTACCTGCAGCAGACGCTGCCGCCCACCGAGACGCGCTGCGCCCTGCTCGGCAACTACCTGCTCAGCGACGGGCAGCCGGGACAGGTAACGTCGCCCCACCGCCCAATTCGGTTCAGTCTATGCGTGCTATGTAACCATTTCTAGATTTCCGTACCCGAAGAGTGAAAACGGGACCCTCCTAAGATTCCGCTGCCTCTCTGGATAGTTGAAATTTTCACAGATGATGTATTTTAGTTGCCGTTATAAATGAAAATGAACAAACGAAAATGTCTTTATTCAAGTAAGTTTGTAAAAACATGCACTTTTGAATCGTCAAAAAAAAATTTTTTTCACCTACCACTCGTTCAGGACGTCTTTTAGCTAACAAGAAGAACAAGCGAAAAAAACTTACCAGCTCTTTATCATAAGTAACGACATTTACATAAATCATGTCATTACCAAAATAATATGTATTATCACAATAATAAATACAACTTTCAAAGTCTGTAAGACATAGGTCGAACATATAATTAGTGTTTATAGAACAAAGCGAAGGCTATTAATTCCATGCATTGCGATCCTAAAAATAATCATCAACTTTATAATAGCCTTTACTCATAAGTATGTTATTTACATCATGAATTTTAAATTTACATTTTGTGGCCCAACGTGCCTCGTAAGGTGCTTGAAACCGTTGGTTCGGGCTAAAAACGTAATAATGAAGCGGAAGATTATATTTATTATGTTTTACAGGTAATTAAAGTTGTGGCGAAGAAACGGATCGGTGAATCTAACTATATCACAGCGATCAGGGAGACTTTGAAGAAACACTACGGCGAAAAAATTGTGGGTAAGTGGGGCCTTGTATACACGAATTTAGTCAACAAATATATGCACATACATAATTTAAATGATTTGATTGAAATCCTTCGATGGTAGCGATCTGCCTTTTTTTTTGTCAACATATTTTTTTTTAAAGATAATATCTATATTAAGCGTTTACAAGTTTCTTTGATGTTGATTAGATTGATTTATAACATTTAAGTTGATAATGAAATATTTATTGTGTTATTAAAAGCGGAAATGGTTCCGCACAATACTTGTCGCGGAGTATGTTATTAATCTTACGTACTTCTGCTTGAATTTTAAGGGATGTCAGTGTGACAAATACGTGCGTACTTTAGGGCATGCATTGAGAGATCAGACGCTTTATTTGTAACTCATTAACATCGTGGATTACACACAACATTACAGTCCGTCGAGATTCCTACCGGTCCTCCTGCCTGCCCCATAGACCACCTCGACCTCCAGATCTCGCACGATTACTCTTATCGTCGCACGTATTTTTGTATCTCTCAATGCGGTTCCTTTTTTACACAACCATACATATTATCTTACAACACACGTGCAACTCGCCCACTCGGCAGTCTTTACTGATCGCAGGCCCGAGGGTGTCTTTACTTCAACATTCACGTACTCAGCATCATTGGAGTACAACTAATGAAACACTCGGGCGACTTTCAACCTATGAAACCGACATTACTGTTCATCGGCCAATAATTTCTAAACGCTACAATTTACATCAAATCTATGATGACATTGCGCAGCGTTCCGAGCATTAAAAAAAATAATATTCAGATCGGAAAAAGTTTCGCGGCAGGACCGGTATTCGACAGAGGAAAGGTTCGATCGCTCGTTCGCAACGAGGAAGCTCGAAAGCGCCCGGTCCGATTTAAATATTCTTTCATCCAGGGGTAGAGGGCTGAAAACAGAAAACTGTCGCAGGTCTGGGCGGCGCGTTCCTGCTGGCGGCGGGGCGCGCGCGGATGCACGTGATGCCGCAGTTCGCGGACGCGGCGCTGTGCAGCGACGAGGACGTGGAGCGCTGGCTGCACTTCTTCGAGATGCGCGCGCCCATCGCGCATCTGGGCACGCTCGTCACCGGCGACCACGTGCGTACTGCGCACTGCGCACGACTCGAGCGGTAGATGATCGGTACAAGCTTATCATAACCGGGCGGTTATGGCAAGGTTGCGGGTTCGAATCTCGCCTCGACCACGTGTCTAGTTGATATTTTTAAGTGATATTGTTAAAAGGGAGGAAAAGTCAACCGATACATCGAATGCTCCGGGACCGGGGCGCTCATCATCATCATCATCATCAGCCCTTTTACGTCCCCACTGCAGGGGCTCAGGCCTTCCTTATGGATGGTTAAGGAGGATGGGCCGTGACCCTCCACGCTGGCCCAATGCGGATTGGAGGGTATCAACGTCCTGCAAATGCAGCCGGGACCGACGGCTTAACGTGCCTTCCGAAGCACGGAGTAGCTCGAGATAATAATTTTTCGGTCACCCATCCCGTGACCGACCCTTGCGAAAGTCGCTTAACGACTAAGATCGCGGGCCGCGGCGCTCATCCACTACGCCACCGAACTATTCAACCGAGCACCGAGCTTTCATAATTAGTTTAAGCAATAATGTAATAGCATAAAAGTGTGATTATCGGTAATAGTATATTGAACACTGCTAGAAAAAAATTATATGTATTTATTTTCATTTACCGTCTACACCAGTTTTCATTCTCTATAGCGCTCGGTACATTTTTATTATTTTAAAGTAAACTTCCAGCTGCGTTTTAGGATATATCAACAAAACGAATACATTCAAAAGAGCACGGTAGAATAGCTGCCGTCCCGGTGACGGAAGCGTACTACGGTCGCCGCTGACGCGTGACGTTGCCCCGCCAGGGCCTGGACCTGCGCTTGCAGCACTTCCACGGGTTCAGCGCGCACGGCGACGGCGGGCACTACCACGGCGACACGACGCCCGCGCTGGCGCACTACGAGGGCTACTTCGTGCCCGCGCTCACGATGCTGCGCCTCGACCGGCCCGAGCACTCGCACCTCATCGGCCGGGACTAGACCCCTATACTGTTTACACAGAACTACGCCCCTCCCGCCCTGCGATTCTGCAAAAATGCGAACCCGAATTCGAAAATTGCCATACCTCGAATCGGCGATGACGTTTCGGGGCATTATTGAAGTGAGTTTCGAAACGACCCGGGAGTAGAATATCTGCGACACGTGTGAATCGATAGATTTAGTTTGTATTTTTGTAAAAATTTCTACACGCGACGACGTAATTTCGGACCCCCCCCCCGAGTGAATTCGAATTTTTACAGAATCGCTCTGCTGAAAAGGCTGTGATTCCTAAAGTTAAATATAGTCTGGACGGTAGTAGCAGAAATAAAATTAGAAGCGCTCAAAACTAGTCTTTGATTTCATCCCGCTCGTACCTCGGACATAGGAACGGGACCTCAGCCGTGTCGCGTCAGTAAAACTACGATCGTGTTGCGTAACGATTTATTTGTAATCGATCATGATACAATATTTGTATGGAATAAAATAAATCTATATTTAATTTACAAAATAATAATAGACCGTATGAATATAAAGATAATATTATTACAATATATTGTAATTATTACTTTGAGGGGAACCTGGGGTACACTGTGGCGCGAGTCCACCCCGCTCGTTGTTACCAACATACGTACAAAAATACTAGTGACTTTATCACATGGAGTTCGATACACACTACGCGATATCGCGCTACACATTAATATGACGTGTTATAGAATAGCCACCGATGATGCATTCATAAAATTACTCGAATAATATTAATGGACATGCTCATATCGAATACTCTAATACGTACGTACACTATCATATAGCATAAAGCACAATTATAAAAAGATTTATTTTTACCTTAGGTTATAAACGGGACAAAGTCAGTGTTGCCAATTATGAAAACCATAAGAGCCCGAATCGTAGACAGAAATACTAAATGGCGGGTGATAACCAGAAGTACTTCGTAATATCGAATCTTACGAACTTGTAAAAAGTCGAGTAATCATATTTATTGTCATAATATCTGTCTAATACGAAATATACGTATGCTAAAAGTCTCCAGTTCTAAAATTTTTCATTCATTCAAATCGGCAACACTGAACCTGTATGAAATTCTGGGGTAACGTTTACTTCCTGAAACCTCAGATTTCATCGGTAAACTACAACAACCATCACATTTTAATAAAAGACACGTACAAGAGTTATTATAAATTAAATTATAAATTACACAGCCCATATTGTCGCTAGCATACAACTAGGATAATAAAGTATAATTTATTTAATACTTAAAGCAACGCGGCGTGAATTCCTGATCTAGTCCTGTGTAAAGTTTTCCATTAATGAATAAACTTTACACTGAAAACTAAAAACACAATAAAAAAAAATAAGGGCATTCTCAAATCGCGTACGTGCACTAGAAAATACTTTGTATATGAAACAGTGTTTTATTAATTGTTCAGATATAAAAAAGGTGGTATAAAACGAGGCAGTCCAGGTCTTCAACTAAAGTATAAAATATCTTAGTTACCGGCACTAAATTACGATATGTGGTAAACTAAAACATAATAAGACTAAAACGAAAGGTGCAACAAGCGATTTATTAAAAAATATATATCATATTAAAGGTAATGTAACTAATTAATGACACATTTAAAATGTTAAATCTGAAAATCTTTGTTCACATAACTTTCAAGTTTAAATTCTTGATGATCGCGTACAAGAGTATTTTTAAATACTGTAAAAATATTGTACTTTACATAAGTCAGTTCTGTATTATTGGCATAATTATACAACATTTAACTACGTATTGCCATAATATAACAAACCAGCTACACCGTCGGAATAACGGGCGTATCACATATAGTTATAGAGTCGATTATAGTATATTTATTGTTGCATACGCGACTATTGCAGCTAATTTTATACGACGGGCGATCAAAACAGACAAACACAAATATCCAATATTTGTATCGACATACACTCGGGTGATTTCTCGTTAATCCGTCATCTGTTAATCTGCATTTAATGTCACAGCTCAAGTCGTTCTCCACGCTGTTTAGCCCAGGTAGGTATACATACATACATATCTAGGGACCCCTGCTAGGTGAGTTCGATGGATCTGACATTACTTTTTGCTTAAATAGGTTTAATGAAAAGGGTTCGAGATAAAATAGGTATTATTGATCGATCGATTTCGAAAAATATTTTTACGTATTCATTGGGTGAATCGAACACTGAGAAATTTATTCAACGAAATGCGGAAATAAACACCGTTCAGAAGGCGGGGGTAGCACGATGAAACACCACTGAGATAGCTAGCGAACGAGATTTATATTTTTTCTGTTTCGATGTGCTATTTGGAAAGTATGTTTACATCGGAACTCGGGGAAGATATATTTTATTCAATCTCGGAGGTCGAGATCTGATAAAATATCAGGAGCTCGGGGTTCCGCAATCGATAGGTGTCGACCCCGACGCACGCAGGTTTTTCATTTTTTGCTAGATATTTTTGTCACAAACGTCTCTAATTGCAGGAAGATTATCATCTAGAATCCTATACGGGGTTATCTGCGGAGCATCACTAGACTAGGCGCGGTTAGGCGCGGAAGCATCGCACGGCGCGCACGACGTACTGGCGGCAGATGGGGCACTCGGCCAGCACGCTGCTGCACGCCGTGCACGCCGCGATGTGCCCGCACTCCAGCAGCACGCACTCCAGCGGCGCCGCCATGCAGATCTTGCAGCACTCCTCCAGCGGCAGCGACTCCGTCTCTGAACCATCGCAAATAATATGAACATTCAACTCTACCGTGTAAAATAACTCCGAGAGGCGCCCGCTCCAACCGCCGAGTTCCCCGGGACCTAACAGGACTGACGAATCTTTCGAGCGCTCGCTACTTTTACATTAAGAATATTTTTCAATATAACCCTGGATATGCATAATTGACCAAATAGAATAAATAAAATAAAAACCACCGAGGCGGCGATACAGCAGTACCGTGTTTGTAGAGCGCGTGGTCCCTGTAGAGCATCCTGGCGCGGTCGAGCAGGTCGGCCCGCTCGAGGCAGCCGCGGTACGCCACGCGGTTGCGCGCCAGCAGCTGCTTCAGCTCGCGCACGCTCAGCGCCTCCAGCTGCGACGCCGACGTCACCCGCGCCAGGCTCACCGGCCCCGCGGCCTCTGCCGGACCGACCGAACCGAACCATGTCATTATCCGCCGTGGATATAGTGGAGGAAGATTCGCGTCGAGCGGTTCGGACACCCACCCGTTCCGGAGTCCGGCAGCGGTTCGTCGTGCAGACTGAGCGAGTCGGGCTCCGGCGCCGCCCCCCGCGGCCGCAGCTCCGCCTCGGACGCGGCGCGCTGCTGCGGCCCGAGCGGCCCCGCGCCCCCCGCACCCCCCGCCGCCGCCGGGACCTCGAGCCGCGCCCGCCTCGGGGGGGACTCGTCGGGTTGCGCGCTTTCGGCGGGCGGAGGACGACTCCGTTCCGGAGTGTCGCTTTCCGCTATTAGCACTTCCGAATCTGAAATGGCGTACGTTTTAAAATATTCCGTTCATACGTATCCGTCCCGATATTCGCGGAGGAATATTGCGGTGTTCACCGTTCGGCAAGGCGGCGGCGGGCCGGGTGACGAACTCCCAGCCGGCGTCGTCGAGGTCCTCTATCTCGTAGCAGTCGTCGGTGTCCACGTGCGGGTGCGCCCGCGCCTGCGCTTGCGCCTCCCCCTCGTCGGGCGACTCCCGCGACGGCACCGGCACTGTTATGTCGCGCTCCCCACCTGTAATTGAGGGTGGACTCTTTCTAATTCATTGTATTGTTTTAATACTCATGAAAGAATTGTAATCTTTTCACATTAAATCATAATATATTCGATTTGATCATCAGAAATGTGATGTATTATTTATGATATTAGTGAACTTACTGATATGTAAATACGCGCAATATGAAGATCTACATCTACTCTAAAAAGAAAAAGAAAAAATATTAATTATAGCCAGTAGCACACCTGGTGTTGTAGTGAATCTCTCTCTCGGTGGGTGTGGCGCGGGTTGTGTCCGGTGACCGGGCGGCGGCCGCTGTGTGTGCACGTGACTCGCGTTGTGGCAGTTACCTTCACATAGTGAATAAAACCTTATCACAGACATCATTGTATATGGTACGGCAAAAAATCGAATTTAGTTAGAAGGCGTTTCTACTAGTTTAAACTAGCTTATAGTAAAAGCATGTTTAACACTATAATTTATATAGAGAATGAGAATTTGTTAATTCTTGTTTATACAGATCGACTGTGTGCATTAGAAAAAACTAGTTTGACGTTAAGAAAAATATTTTAAGCAATCACCAATAAATAGGCATTCCCATTCAATGGTGGGTAATTTTCTTTCCTTACGTTACATTCATTTTAACTCTTTTATACCTACTAAATTGCTCACATCCTTGGCAGCTTTCACGGAGACCGTTATGCACCCTTTACAGATTTTTTTGTAAGCTGTTGCTAAATTATTCTCTTTTTTAGATCTTTTTATTAAGAAACTGTTTAGTTAGAACTGTGACTAAAACAAAAAACAACAGGAGTATGCTAGAGGCTACCGACTTCAACATATAAATTCAAAACTAACTTTAAAATACTTTTAAATATACCAAAAATATAAGTTGATAGTCTCTGTTGACTATTAAGTATAACATGTTTTGTTGTTATACAAACATATATTACACATCCATTTTTTATTGCATTCAATCTACATATATATAAAAATTCTTATATTACCGTGTGACTGACTGACTGACAAATAATGAACAGCCAAAACTACTGAGTGTAATAAGTTGAAATATGGGATGAAGATTCCTTAAGGAGTGTAGACAAGCTATAAGAGAGGATTTTTGAAAATTCCACCCCAAAAACAAAAACATGAAAAATACAATTCACATTAAATTTTACCTTTAACATTATTATTTCTTTATTCAATAAAAATTCTGTAGTGCCTCAGTTCTTCGGGGTTTATTAGTCTGAATATAATAATGGATAGTATATGTAAGTAGACATACAAAGTAAATATTATAGGTCTAAGCTGTTATAGGCACTTTTGATTATCAAAACCTACACCATCAGTTCACAAATCTACAGCTGGAGACTTTGTACTGAGAAGAACTGGCAAGAAACTCAGCATGGGCTACTTTTTTCTTCACACTTAACACTCTATTCTTTACAGAACATAAACCGAAATAATGCACATTCATAATTAGTGACAATGCAAAATATGTAACTCACTATGTTGTGGAGGTGGTGGTGGTGGTGCTGGCTGTGCATTGTTTCGCATTTCAAAGGCATTGTTAATAAAGACATTGAGGTTGTTGGTGAAGCCCTTGAGAGAGCTGAAAGGAGAGGGACGTGCACGAGGCCCCCGTCGACGGTATGTCGAACTATTCACGTGTGACAGACAAAGGCTCACCAACTCTTCTTTCTCTGAAAATGTATCACAATAAAATATATGGTGGACCTGATGTGAGCAACAAATGTTTGACAGAGTGATGAAAGTGTGATGTAATTTGGAGAAAAGTGACCTGATGTATCCAGTAATTTTATATCTACAAAACATTGACTTATTATGTTTTTCTTTACATTTTATATGTATGTTCTTCTTATCTGTTTATCTATTACAATTGTACAGTGGGTATGATAACAGCATTATAAGAATATTTGTAATGAAAAATACTTTATCCCTGTATTATTATATAGCATTTTTTTCAGGATAGCATTATGAATGCAAAATTGATCAAACATAATAATTAGAGCATTATAAGAAGTTATTTGCAGAATTAACTTTTAGATGAATAAGTTACACAAATAATATCAAAACTTTTATTTATGATTTCATGATGTAAAAGTTAGGCATGCAGTTACAGAATGTTTATTATCTATGTAAACAATTTTAAATTGATCACGAATACATAATACTTCACTATAACAAGGAGCAAGTCTCTTATTTGTGATGCCATTAATGCCTTCTATTGCTACAATGCATTTTAGAAGGTTACTTTACATTATCACAAAAGGTCAATATTCCTTATTTTTTGTTATCATAGTCCAATGTGATTATTCTAGAAACTATGAAGAGATCATGTGAATTCATTATACATATATTATCAGGTATGTTCAGTAACATACCCACACATCCTCTGGTGGAAACATTCTGCCGCTGCAGAAAACACTGCAGATCGCGGACTTTAAGATGTGCTATACTCTGACGAAGCAGCGGTCTGGTTGATAACACTTTGCAAGGCACACATAGCACAAATGAGCCCTCGCGGCGTAGGCAACCACTGCAGTAGTACCGTTCACATTCATAGCACACCTGCTTGCGTTTAAAAACGCTGAACTGCACGGCACAGCTCTCGCAAGGCATCTTACTGCGTCTGCCTCGAGTTAACATCTAGCATAATCCAGACACCGCACTTAACCCCACACATTACAATAATATCTCACATAACACTGAGACTGACTATTGCCCGTTCAAGGCTATTTTAAAACGTGCCATTTGTTGATTTATTACATAAATTATTTATAATAAAAAATCATAACATTAGTTGTCGTACTTAAGTTTGACAGTTGATTGACTGACATGACATGACATTTAAGTGAAATGGCAGATGGCATTTGACAATTCATTTGGCAGATGGCAGACCTCGCTCAATTGCTAATAAAAATCCATCCACACGGCAGGGAATCCGAGCTCCGTCCACCATGTGGACGGCTGTTGGATCAACTCCGACGTGATCACAAACATGACCTACGACGTGTTTTTTCCAAGCGTATAGTATCGGCGTTTAGCCACAATAGGCATTACGCAGAATTACGGAATTTGGAGTATCACAAGGGATAAAAATTGTTTATATTGTGTGTTTACAAACAAACATTTAAATTTTTGAACAGTAAATTTTATTAATCTATTTCATCTTCCATTGAGGTCACTTACAAAGATCATTGATAGAGATCGATATAGAAAATGAAAACTGGTGTAGACTGTAAATGAAAATAAATACATATAATTTTTTCTAGCAGTGTTTAATATACTATTAGTCTATTACCGATAATCACACTTTTATGCTATTACAATATTGCTTAAACTAATTATGAAAGCTCGGTGCTCAGTTGAGTAGCTCGGTGGCGTAGTAGATGAGCACCGCGGCCCGCGATCTTAATTGTTAAGCAACTTTCGCTAGGGTCGGTCACGGGATGGGTGACCAAACAATTATTATCTCGAGTTACTCCGTGCTTCGGAAGGCACGTTAAGCCGTTGGTCCCGGCTGCATTTGCAGTCGTTAATACCCTCCAATCCGCATTGGGCCAGCGTGGAGGGTCATAGCCCATCCTCCTTAACCATCCCTAAGGAAGGCCTGAGCCCCTGCAGTGGGGACGTAAAAGGGCTGGAGATGTATGTAATTATGAAAAATAGAACCGACTTTAAATTAAAAAAGTGATACATAATACTTATTTTAATAGCGGATAATTTTTCAAGAACCATTAATGTCAAGCTGAGGTTTTCTGTAGTCTGTTAAATATTAATCGCCTTAATTCAATGTTTTTTGAAAAATTTACCGCTTTTTATAAAATAAATTTATAAAAAGTTGTCTACACTCCTATTAATACCACCATAGGATGTAACCCTTTATTTGAAACAAGTATTAAAATCAATATAAGTTTCGAACCAAATTATCGATACATATAAGATATTTTATAAAATGATCCATTTGAGAATTAAAAAGAACTACATTTTTGAGTTTTAAAATTATTTTAATATTACAGGACGTTATTTCAGATTTTAAGTTTCTTTTAAAAAATATTTTCGAAACGTAAGTGATGATCAATCACGTTTGGATGTGTAGTGTCAGCCAAAAAAATATGTTTCTATTAAATTTTCAATACTTTTATAGGCTTACCCGTTTATTCAATATAATTTGAAATTACAAAACTCTTAATGAGAAAAATTTTCGAAGTTAACAAATGCGACTACATTGTCATTAAAAAATAAATCAATTTGAACGTTTTCACATCTTCATAGATTTTATAGGAAATGTAATTTTTTTTTCTCCAGTATGGCAACGCCGCCAGTAGAAACTAGTTCCTGCCAAGGTCACTTTGGTCGAAACGCTTCGTTGGGAACCACACGCCTCGACATCCCGACCAAGGTCAATTGGTCGGAACTCAAACCTCTATCGTGTGGATGGCTTTTAAGAAAGAAACGTTACATTTCACGCAAATATATGTATAATTGGAACATAAAATAATAAAAAGCAAATAAAGAAAACATTTCATGCGATTTTGTGTATTACCTGCTTACACCATTTATTAACATATTTGAAGGAATTTCGTACAACAATATAAGCAGTATTTTTTTAACTTATCAATTATTTATGTTTAAAAGATTATAGACCTGGGATTCAGCAAGGAGTCCACTTATCCAGCCCCACCTTTGTTTCAACCCTTTTTTTTTTAAATCCACCTTTAGCCTTAAGCCAGAGCTCTCCAACTACGGTTAATGTGGAAGGCCCGCCTGATAACACCCGTTGCGGTTCACCTCATGCAGTTAGGAAGAACGTCAGTACAATAACCATTACACCAACCAGAACAAAAAATACACCAACGTCATTTATTTGTCCATCTGTTTCCTATACTTTGTCTACACTCGTATTGATGTCACGGCGTCAGCGTCACTCGACAATACTTACTAAGCTCATAAATATATAGGTATGCTTATACTACCAATAGGCTTCCAATGGGTACCTACTCGAATATTATGAAAGCAATGGGTTTATGAAGGTAACTTAAACCATTTATTTTTATTTCTATTTCATTACTTATGATAAAAAGCTGATAAGTTTCTTTCGCTTGTTCTTCTTGTCAGCTAAAAGACGTCCTGAACAAGTGGTAGGGGAAAAAAGTTTTTTGGACGATTCAAAAGTGCTTGTAATAGCCTACTTGAATAAAGATATTTTCATTTCATTTCATTTCATTTCATTATTTTTATTCACGTTTGTCTTAATTTGTTTATTATTTTTTCAAACTAAGTAGTACTTACCTGCATACTAATATCGGATACAAAAAAAGAATAAAGTTATCTATGTATATGAACATGTTGCTATTGAAATATATAACTAATGTACTTGTAGTTTGATGACCTACTTTTGTTAATATACCTTCAGTTTGGTTGATATATTTAATTTAATAAAAATCGTAAATAAATAAGATGTTTTTTAATTAATGATACCAAATCATAGCACAGCAATTTCGTGGACAATTGCACTCTATTTCATCATCATCAGTCTATAAACCACTGCCGGGGCACAGGTCTTTCCCATAGATGGAATCAAATAAAATAAGAAGAATGGGCCATGAGCATGTCCAACCAAGCGGGCTCAGTGCGGATAGGTGAGTGTTAACGCAGATACGGTTGGGACTAACAGCTTAACGTGCCTTCCGAAGCACGGACGAGTTCGAGATAGTAAATTTTTAGCCACCCATCCCACCACCGGTCCTTGCGAAAGTTGCTTAGCTTACACCGAATGCGCTTACCACTGCTCCTCTTGTACATATATTCTCCACTATACCTATTCCTATTGTAAGTAAGCAAAATAACTTTTAATCAAGTTTACTTAATCGTGTACTCACTCTCGTTTAGTGTATTTTAGTAAAGCTAAGTAAGTTAGTAAAGCTAAGCAACTTTCGCAAGGACCGGTCGTGGGATGGGTGGTATTTTAGTAAAGCTAAGTAATCGAAGTCTCTGGCCGAGTGCACCTCAAGGTGTGTCACATCCCGACCCGTAGGTACATCTAAAAGACGAAATACCTATGACGACATCATAACTCATTTTTCTAAAAGAAAATATAACTATTAGACTTCCTTCCTATGCAATATAGTATGTTCTGTTATTGCTCAAGGTCTACAATTTCTTCCAGATAAGTTAACTTGATGATAATAAGAACCTCAGACCAATTTATTTGGTTAAGTTATGTTTTTGCTATACATTTTCAACGCAAAAACAATATATCTAATAATATTGTTTTTGCGTTGACAATAATACTATACTGAATATAAACACGACGACGTGTGTAGGACGTCACTGTTTGTTCAACCAATATCTAGATTTTAGTGTAGTCAATGTTACGGATTGACAGAATATTACGCAGTTTCTGCACTGTACAGAATAGCAGCTGTGAGCTGTGTGAGCGTCTGAATCTATACTAATATTATAAAGCTGAACAGTTTGTTTGTTTGAACGCACTAATCTCAGGAACAACTGGTTCGAATTGAAAAATTCTTTTTGTGTTGAATAGACCATTTATCGAGGAAGGCTTTAGGCTATATCACATCACGCTGCAACTATTAGGAGCGAAAAATAATGGGAAACGCTGACGAAGTCGCTGGCGGCCACTAGTATTAAATAAGTATTAATGGTAACGAAAATTATAGCAGCACTGTACTTACTAGCCGTCTATATCTATATTCTACGTCTATATCTATATTTGGTCTATAGCACAATAACTAGGTGAAAGACGCTTTGAGATCTAAAACATTTCAAATTTGGTGTATTCATAGTCCTTACTTTTAATTAATAAAGTATCTTAATGACTTTAGTAGCGATTTCCAAATGTCGCAAACTCCATGTTCCCGGTCTGGATGGTAATTTTTGATAAACTTGGGCTATGAGCAATGCATGTGATGTTTTCTAATCTCTGTGTGATGTAACCTTAGTCATATTTGAAATTGAGAAAAACTTACAAACTTTATTAGTAATTTATTTATTTATTAGTATATGCTTGGTTAATATTTCATTAATGCTTTAAGGTTGTTAAAGAAAGTATTCAATTCAAGCTTTATGATTTAAAACTATGTATCGGTCAGAATAACTTACATAGGTACTTAGCAAATATATTTTAATATAAATTAATGATAAATATTATTAATAATTATTACGTTTTAAAATAAAATAAAGAATAACACGAGAAAAACATCTGTGTTGTGAAGGACAAGATCAAAGTCATTACATAGATGTCTCTGGCGCGCTAGTAAATACGTTATCACTATTTCGACATGTTCACCGCAGCTGAGGTGTCCGAGTGGTTAAGGAGTTGGACTTGAAATCCAATGGGTTCTACCCGCGCAGGTTCGAATCCTGTCCTCAGCGTTCTGTTTTTTTATTATCTATTATTTTTAATGTTTTATTATTAGCTATATTATTTTTTATTAACTTTAGCTATATTATTTTGTATTCCTAAACTATTATTTATGATAATCAATTTAATAAGAGAGTTTCATATAAAATCAATAAGTATGGTGTTTTATTGGCGAGTTTTTCGTTCAAAAACGGTAAAGTGATAACCCGTAAAGCAGAGTCCGGTGGCCATTAACAATGCAAAATCTAAATAATTATGTACCTCCTTGAAAGTGTTCAAGTATAAATTCGAAAGATGTATCGCCATATTGCTTTTATTATTGAATTATCTTTTTAAACAGGTAACAAAAAAATTAAAAATTCAAATTTATTTATTAAAATAGACACAAACTCATATAAAAAATACTAGGTACCTTGTATATATTATAACCAGAAACTTTTATCCGCCTAAATATAATTCCATATTTCCACCTAG